AGTTGACTGACATGAGTGTTTAAAATCCGCTTTATGCTGAGTGGAGTGGAGTGGAGTGGAGTGGAGTGGAGTAGATCTCCATCTCCACACTGATTATTTCAGATTAGTAAATGAAGGTGTGTCCTGGTGTGTTTCCGATGCTGGCTGCTTTGACATTCTCATCTGTGCTGGCGTCTGTAGTTGCCTGTAGTTGAAACGATGCTGTTTAGGTAAGTAAGTGGAAAAGACAACTACGTTTAAATTTCTGCCGTCGATGGTGATTGGCGCTTGTTGTATTTGTTGTTGTTGGTTGGGTATCTGAATCACCTTCGTCTCTTCTACGTTCCCCTGAAGTCCCATCTTGGCTGCGCTGCCTCTTCTGCCAACTTGCTAGTTTCCACCTGTAGATCTTCGAGTTTGTGCGACAAGACATTAGACATAGATCACCATCGGCAAAATCCAAATTTCATAGGGTCTTTTCATCGGTCCAGCCAGCATATACCCACCTTCTCGCTTCTCACAGTTTGTTACATGATCCAGTTGAGTTGAGTCGACCACGATCAGGAAGATCATCAGTTATAGTAGGCGGCAGCCTTGTTTTACTCCTGTCTCCTGTCTTCACTTCAAATGTATCACTGAGCTTTCCATTGTGAATCACTAGGCATGTAGCATCTGCATATAGCTGTTGGATGACATCATATCTTCTCATTTCTTTTGCAGTCTGGGCAACTTTGACAGGCAGCTTCAAACACTATAAGGACATTCCATGTGCCTACGCTTACTTTTGCTTTCATCGAGAGAAGGTTTTCACCAACCGATATCATTTCGTCTCTTCGATTCCAGTGAAAAGTAAGTTTATGTTTGTCCTATATATTTTCTTTGTGTGCTTTGAAGTTTCTTTAGCGATTGGATTGATTTTCCTGGTAGGGTTGCTAGCCCTGCACCCAACCTCCTTTCTTTATCCAGCCTTACGACCGGTTAGTAAACTAGTGAACAACTAACTCCAGTGTGAACTACTCGATTTCTTGATAACTTCGACTTCGGTACCCTGTGGACAATCTAACAAAGTGTTTAGAATTGATAAATACTGCCGAAATGATAGCACGTAATTTCGCCTAATATTCTCTCACATAACAATATCCACCAAACTATTGCTACTTATTGATACTTGCAATTCTCCTCGATACTACCTCAATAGTCGTCATATTGTGGTCCATTTGGTAGATAACACTGGAGTCGTCGACGTGTATTTCATTCTAGTTGAGACTCTTCACTTCAGTCTATGATTGCCTACCCATCATGCTCCAGTGGCTCAGTAGGCAACGCTTTTGCATTTGAAGCGATGAGTACTGAGTTCGAATCACGGTTGGAAAAGCATCATTCAATGGGGTGCTTGTAAATACGGCTGACGAGTTCCAAACCAGACGAAACACATGTCGCAGATTCTACTGTTAGCCATCAAACCGACTACAATACTTTTATTGGATGAAGAAATAAACGACTGAAAGTTACCAGACGAGTCACTCAGCGACCGAAGGATTTTGTAAGTCCATCGTATCACTTTTGTCAACAGCTTAGAAAGTGATTTGTAACTGTAGACATGATCTTATTACCTTATAAACCAGTTACCATCAGGATATTATAAGTGATAAAGTTTCAGTGTTGAATGGAACGGTAACCACCTTCAAGGTTACCACGAATTACAATAAAAAATTTTAATTAATCGGTATGCAGTCCACCACACCATCAGTGATACCATTAAGTTTGTGCGCTGTGAGTCCATAGTTAACATGAGAACGTACTGAAGTTGTGCTAGGAAAGGCGTTAAGAGTACAATGAATGGGATCACTCCTGAATTAACCAGTCAGGTTTCACGAAATAGACAAACGTGATTCGTTATCTCGGCAGTAGGAGTGGCTTTTAGAGCCAACCAGAGGGATGCTTTCAAGGTCATCTGATTTCGATGCCGGTGAAATGGCATCACACTGCATATAGGAATCATCAGCCAGGCAGTAGGACAGCCCTATGAAAAACATGATGAGAATAGTAAATGCTGTTTTGTAATGAAGTTAGTAATGTGGTGCTTTTATCACGATCCGACCTGACCTTTGACTGTCCATCCTTTCGAGTGACTTAAAAAGACCACCCTGACAAATGGTGAAATTCCCAATCAGGAGAAACTACCTTGATAACTGGGATGGAGAAACCTGATTGGTTATTTCACTGATTGCCAGGGTGACCTTCAGAGCAACTCATTTTTCGAGTGACCTTAAAAGTCCCCTTAAAGACTGCTGAGATAACCAATTACTCTTCTTTATTTCATAAAAAAACTTCCTTTCTGACGAGAATACCAAGACCGCAACTTTTCGAGTGAATTAAACGCCAACCTAACAATGGCTAAAATAACCAGTTAGGTTTTCTGGTTTGTAAAACAAAAGAAGAAATTTTTGAGGTGAAATTGACAAACTTGACTGGTTACTTCAGCGGTTACTCATCTCAACGCGCTCAGGATCTTTATCATTATCAAGTATTCATCGTATAGAGTAAAACAACTATCCAGAAGTTATCGTTAGCAAGGGAATCCGAATGTAGTGAATGGCATACTGGGAATAATTGGAACCGTTTAACTGAAGTAGATACTGAACCAGACAGCCTAGAAATATACCTTTGATACTGAGTGGTGATTGGAGGTGAGATGAAAATCTGGATCACAGCAGGATACAGACAGTTAGACCCCGCGATCCGATGCTCTATGAAGTGAGTTACATGGCCCAAATGCTTACCAGATTTTTACTTCACTTCGGTCACCAAGGATTTTTCCCGACTACCATGCATAACTATCCGTTCATCATATTTACACTGGCTGTACATGTGGGACAGCAGTTATTCATGCAAACCAAACAAATTATTATCTTGCTATTGTCTACCCAAGAAAGTGAAGAGGCAAGCTACTGGACACAAGATCAGATCACGAAGAGGAGGAGATGTAGGTTCACACCACTATCTACTGCAAGAAACCTTCCAAATCAAGTTGAAAGCCTTCAAAGAAGTTGGTGATAGGCCATAGTTCAAGTTCAACACCCAGAACAGAAAGCGAACTGAAGTACAAAACTACAAAAAACATCTTCACGTCAGTCAGTCGATGGGAGAAAATGGCAGACATTGAGCAACATTCTTGAAGGAACATACATGCAGGAACACTGGAGCTATTTCACAGAGAGATGTGAAAAGAAACCTGCATAACCGTACTAGGAAGGAAGAAGAAGCAGTAAGACAAGGAGTGGACCTCGACGGACACATGGAAGCCGATAGAGGAGAGAAGGATGGTGAAGCAGAAGATGAACCAATGCAGTGCATGGATGAACAATGAAAAGATGAACTGAGTACAGAGTATAAAACACTACACTGGACAAAGAAGTGAAGAAGAGTGCACGCAAAGACAAAAGACACTTCTACGACCCATTGGCAAGTGAAGCAGAACAGGCTGCTGGTAGGAGACACAGACACCTGACAACATCATATCAAATAACCAGGTTGCTATCTGGGGAGAGATCAACGCAGACGAAACCAATGAAAGATAGTAAAGGAAACCTATTTACCAAAGAGGAGAAACAAAGGAAACAATGGGCTGACCACTTCAAAACACTCTTGAATCGACTATCACCACCACCTGCAACTCATCCAGAAATACCACCAGCAGCGGCAGAACTACAAGTGAACAAAGGCCCTCTAACAAAAGCAGAAGTCCTAAACTCCATAAAGTTGGTGAAATCCGGGGAAGCAGCAGGACCAGATGGAATTCCGTCAGAAGCACTGAAAACAGACGCAGAGACAATAGTGGACACGCTCACACCACTACTGCAGAAGGTTTGGAAGGAAGAAAGGAAAGAAAGGTACCTGCTGGTTGATTGGAAGAAGGGCCACCTGGTCAATCTTCCAAAGAAGGGAGACCTAAGTCTTCGCAAGAACCGGCGAGGAATCATGTTCCTGTCCACCCAAAACAAACAAAATATTAAACCGCATCATCCTGGAGAGACTGAACAATGCGCTGGATTCAAAATTACGACCGGAACAGGCTGGCTGACTTCAAGAACAACAAATCATGTGTGGATCGAATTGCAACACTACGCTGCGCTGCGCAGCATCATAGAACAGAGTATAGAATAGCAGTCAACTGGATATTTACCGCAAATTCATCGACTTTGAAAAGGCCTTCGACAACGTCGACCGACAAGTAATTTGGTAGTCGCTTCAATACTATGAGTGCCACAAACCTCATTCAGCAGGTATGTGACGGCGCCACATGCCAAGTGATCCACAATGGAAAGCTCAGTGATGCCTTTGAAATGAAGACAGGGGTAAGACAAGTTTGCCTACTATCACCGATGATCTTCCTGATTGTGGTGGACTGGATCATACAGCAAACAGTGAAAAGCGAGAATATGGGCATACGCTGTTTGACCGATGAAAAGACCCCTGAGGAAGATTTGGATTTCGCCAATGATCACTTTTGTTTAATGTCGCATTTCTAAATGACCTTTACAAACATTAAATTTACATATAGGTAAAAATAGTTAACAACCAATGAGAGTCCAGCCTTGACAGCATAGAGGAGAAAGATTAGTAACAATGTGAAAAGGAGGTAAAAGCTAGGCAAAATTAGGTGTATATATCACAGGCATCCACTCAGGAGCCCATATGTCAATACAGACCGATCAATTTAGTCCAATCAAAGACAAGATAGTACAAGTAACAACATAAAAATTATGCCCGTCGAACATTAAGTGGCTACTGTGACTCAGTGGTCTAGTGGATAACGCTCTGACGTTTAAATCAACTGGTCCCTGGCTGGAGTCTTAGTGGGAATAATATCGCCTACTGGGAGGCAAATACATCCTGATGACAAGTCTCAAATAGGATGAAACGCTCCTCTTGGATTCCACTCCTAGCCACTATCCATCATTAATACAAAGAAATTATGTTCAACGCATAAAAAAAAATTGACCAGTTTACTAACTAACCTGAACATCTCGAAGACCTAAGCGTTCCGCTAATAACTTTCTATCAGGTTTAGTAATGTAAGCATGTTTACGGAAAGCACTTTCTAAACCACGACGTTGTACCTCTGAGAAGACAGCTCTATGCTGCATATTACGTCGTTGTGTTATCAATAAATTTCTGTCTTGTTCTTGAATATTTCGATAATACTTACTAACTTCTGTATAATTGTCAGTTATACAAGTTTTGTTTGAATCGGTTCCATCATTATGTATCTCTTTATGCGTATCATTCAAAATATTCTCAGTATTTGTCGATTGACATGGATTCAAGGTTGACAATAAATGCTTAAACCAATGACTGAAAAAATATGCAGCTGGAGATATTTGTAATAAATATTCATTAACTTCCATAAATAATCCATTATAAGGAATATTGGACTGTTGTTCTTCATTTGAAGTAAACTGAGAATCATCAATTATTGGTGTGTAAGATTGTTTGATTGGAAGAGTTAAATTTATTGGTTTATTGGTGTCATCATCAGTAACTGATATACTTGTTCCATTCTTTAATAGAAATTCAGATGAAGGGGAATCAATAGCGCCTTGACAGAGTGATATATTGGGAGTATTTGTAAAATGATTGATATTGTTTAGTATACTAGTGTAATTTGGCTGATATATTGGATTCAAAGTTTGATTTTTAAAGGTATGTTTCACGTCTGTAATGAAAATATTGACATAAGAAAACAAATTAATCCTTTGCTATAGTTTCCATATGCCTACTTGTACTCAGTAATAATGTAATGGGTGTTACTGATAAAGACGGATTTAAGTAGTATATTTTGAGGAAGTTGTGGAAATATCTCAAGTTGTTATTCGTCGTAGACTGATATCAGTTGGAGGAACAAATGAAACCTGGGAGCACTGGACAGCAAGCTGTCTTATCCTGGTATGGGACTCCTTAGCAGTGCGCACCTACTACCCCACCGGGGATCGAACCCACGACCTTCGAATTCCGTCGCCAGCACTTTACCATTGAGCCACTGGGTCAGAACTCAGTGGTCCATATTTCCAACTTATGTTAGCGGTTGCGCTATACCGTGAGCTAACAGAAGTTGGAAATATGAACGGTTGAACTCTAACCCATTGGCTCGATGGTAAAGTGCTGGCCACGGAACTTGAAGGTCGTGGGTTCGACCCTAGTGAGGTCTTGGGTGTGCACTGCCGAGGAGTCCTATACTAGGATGAGACAGCTGGCTGTCCAGTGCCCCCAGGTTTCCTTTGTCCCACCAACTGATGTCAGTCTACGATGAATAACAACTTGAAATAAGTAGTATATATTGAGAGGGTGGCAGAAATCATATGGAATTACTAGCAGTGAGTAAAGATTCTACCAAGAGAAACTCAAGGCACAACGCAGGTGTATGAAGAACAAATCAAGAGAGAAGCGGAAGAGGAAATGTAGCACATTATGCAAATGACTGTCTTAGTGCAAGGTGTACCATATTTAATGACTACTGCACCGGATGTGAATAAAAAACATTCCTTCTTTCGTCTCTGTCTTCTCGTTTCCTTCAATTAATGCCAGCTGTTATTTGTCAGAAATGACATAATTTTATTTCCATAACTCACGAATCCTTCTGATAAGTGTAGCCTTATATCTGTCTCGAAAACGAAATCAAGATGCACTCAGTAATCTTGTGCACATTTATGTAGTAGGTGATGAGCCACACCTTTGATGTAAAACCTAATTTTACTGTCTGTTTACCCGATCAAGATAGGCGGAACGGGTTTACAACCAGTGACTCTCTAAACCAATGAAAACAGTCCAGTTACATATATCTGGTTATTATTCATCAGTGCCTTTAAACCCTACACCAATAAACAACCTTGAAAACTTGGGATAAGAAGATTTCCAACTGTGGGAACTCTTTTCTAGTTTGCAAACTTATTTCTGGATCCAAATTATGTATGTGCATATAGATTTTTGAAATCACAGTGTACACATACAAACCAATATGGATGAATTAGGAAGAAATGGCTCTTGTTTGGCTGGAAGACGTGGAGCATAATTTTAGCACCGAATAAAGTTCATCGACATGTCATGCTGATAAGTTTATTGGTAACATTACACGCTCGGTTGATAAATTCTACTCAGTAATTGTATCTCAATAGTGAAATTAGTCAGGGTCCGACAACCTACCCCTGTACGCATCCCAGTTTTGTATGGGGATCGGTAGCTGTCTCAATGGCTAAAGAGCGAAGCCTGACCTCTGAGAAGGATGAATCAGGCTTAAAACTCCTAAAATATATAAGTTTCTTCAAATATTTGGATTCCCAACATGAAACGCAGCTAAATCCTTTTGAAATGAAACTGAGACAAATTAATGCAACTTATGACAATATACAGCGAAAAAAGAAGGGAAAAAACTCAAACTTAATGTGTGAATATTCACCCAGTCGGTATTTTCGAGGGGAAACTCGGGGCCACTAACCAAACGCCTTGCGAAACAAGGTAAAGTTCAGGCCCCGCAATTATTTGGTGTTTTATTTTAAGCTACTTACAATGTATCAGTAGCTTAAAAATAAATAAGAAGAAATATTCGATTTGTTTTCAGTAATATGTGAAACTTCAAAGGAAATATTTTCTGCAGTTTTTATAAACCTCAGTATACACTCCCAGAACTTTTAACGACTGAATTGCAGGGAAAAACACATTAAATGCCATTAGTTATTGATATTGACATGTAAGTGCAGGTTGGGACCGCACAGGGGACATCAACTGCCTAGAGATTTCAGATACGCGTTGCTGACGAGTCCCAAACAAGGCCGAAACCTAAGTTCACCGGCACTTCTTGTCGATTGCTTCCGACAAACTACCATTCTAACTTTCAGTGTGTACTTAGGTTCTTACGTGTGTCTACTATATGTATAGTATTGTATTGAGTTCAAAGTAACCTGGATGAATGTTATTTGCATCACATAAATTGCGTCTATTGAAAGAGGAAGGCTAGTGGATTAGGAAAATATGTCATATTCTGGTTTTACCTTTTAGTACTGCAAAATAACACTGATTATTACTTTTATTCGTAAAATGGTTCATCATTTTATTGTTTTTATTTATCTGATTACTTATAATATGTATTTCCCACTCCCTGATATCTATGTAGTTCTGCAGTATTCTATCGGATCCTTGTCAGTATTCTGGTGATAAATGAAACCTTCATAAAACCTGAGGTCACTCAGAAACGCACAGACACAAACATTAAAGGTTGGTTATTTCATTGTTATAAATTATGGTGCGTTGTGGTCAGGCAGGTAATTCAGTTGTACACTGAGATGAATCACACCACCCAAAGTGTAAGCAGACAATAAGCACCAGACTTTTTACTCTGTTGTAAGTGGTTGGTTTTCAGGGCCGAACTGCATGATTCATCATGTTGGTGGATGAGCATATGAGACTGGTCAAGTATATTTGAGACCAATCACATTCAAGGTCAGCTTTAAGACTGATTCAGGAAAATCACGTGCTTAAGATAATTTTAACCAGGCAAGTTATACAAGTTAAGGATAGGACATAGTGCGTTGTAGGAGCAGTGTAGCGCAACATCAAGGCAAATGTCTCACTTCAAACTAAGAGACTTTCACTCCTTTCACCAAAACTCTCCTGAAGATTTTTTTCAAACGTAAATAATGGTTTGACTTTGTGTGATTTTTCAGCTTTTACCTACTTATAAAGTCATATAAGTTCAGGAATACGGGACTGAGCCTTCTGAAACGAAATCCAACGACTTAACGAATATTTTCACCTTAGTTAACAGCTTCCTTCACAGATTCTATGGACGACTGGGAGAGTTTACATGATATTTCCCATCAACTCTTAGCTTGACTTCGATAAATATATTCGTGAAACTCATCCAGATGGTGGTTATCTTGCATAATGAGACATATAACTGTTGAACAAATCGGCAACATGTTTAACGATTCTCATCTATGCGAAGGATTAGACTTCTTATTTAATACTCCCTCTATGCAATGCATAAAACTGTCCACATCTGGTCTAGGAAACTATGCTGAACGAATGACTGTAGGGATATTAGGTAATAAAGTGGTGGTTAAAAAAACAGGAATGAGAAACTTCGTCGCAGCACAATCACCTAGATAAAAGTCTTCAAACTCACGGCTACTTTAGATAGCCTCATCTACAGGTAGTGGTAGTAGTCATTTAAACTACCATCCGTTTAGATAAGAATAATTCATCTTACATTGACGAGTTACTAGAGGGTAACCAACTTCATGTAGTCTTGTCCTAAGTGCTGACCGAATTATACGCGTTATTTTGCAATGTAGCCACCAGGCTAGGAGGTTTACTATTGCGATGCACTGAGAGGAATTTCGGTTGGATGGAGGCAATCAACAGAAAGCCGTGATTGACCTGCGTCTCGACCTCTTTGGGACTCATCAGCAAAGTGTATTTGCAACCTCGATGGTAATGATGTCCCGCTTAGACTAAATGAAGCTGGTTGCCCTCCAGGAGGCCGACTGCCACCGGAGTAGTCTAGTGGTAGAGACTCCGGTTACAACAGTGAGTGGAGCCGATTCGTATCCCAGTGGGATGTAGGTCCGGTTACATGTTGGTATGTGAGATTGGAACCAAAATTAAATATCCAGTCTACAGATGAATCTTGTAGTTCAGTTGGTAAAGTACTGGGTGGATACTCAGAAGCCGTTGACACAACATATATGAAAATAATCTTGATCTCAAAAATAACTCACCTCCTTCATTATAGTGATTATTATTTCCAATAGAATAGGATTATGTAATTCCTTATCACGATGTTGACTTGTTTCATTCACCTCAGTTAGACAATTTTCATCGATCAGCGTGGATACACTGAAATTTGGCATATGATTGAAAGATCCTCTTTCACTGAACTGTTGTAAGCTCGCTAGTCTTATGGTAAATTATTGTTTGTATGTCTGATACTACAAGTAGTAATATGTATGTATGCGATAAGTGAATGTCAGTTATATTCCAATAATGCACTTAAAAAGGTGTTTGATAAAACGGAGAGAATTTCAATTGGCTAAAAATTATAATGGGTATTTTTTCACTAAGTTGAAAATTAACTCAATCCGAAATGAGTCAGCCAGTGGTATGTTTATGATTGAAGATGTGGATAGACACATGAATCACACACTGCAAAAGAGAATTTTATTCTTCTCATTTGATTGGATAAAGAATAGCTTCATACCTGTTACACTGTGACAAGTGAATCATGCGTATGTCAACTAATTTAACGCAAGATAAATGTGACCAGCCTGTGTTAATACCAATGGCAGAAAACTGGATAAAAAACTTATTTGATCCTCACCCATAAATCATATTCTTTGAGTCTTAGGAAGCACAA